AACTGCAAGCATCGATGAGCTTCATTTGACTGGAGCCGAACACTATGGGTGACGTCACACTCCCTAGGTTCCCTTCTTTATACAGTCTATGGTTCAGACCGGACAAAATTTCTATGTGAAAGTTGTGTGTCCAACTAGAGGAGTTTGCCACGATTTTGCTGCTGTGGTCTGAACTTCGCATCAGCTTTTTTATATTTGCAAATGATAGAAAAAAAGAAGAACAAAATCACCAATGTTGATGTAGAAACGTGCGATAAAATTTGCAGAAACACCAAATTCCGGGCTGGACAGAGGCAGAACATCTCCAGTCAGTCAGGAAACTACCACGCAGTTAAACAAGAGCTGGTCAAGTCTTTTCCAATGAGAAGAAGAAATGTGTACACTATTTTTAACCTCCTCAATCAAACAAGACATGTATTTACAAACGCCCACACGGCACCAATACTGTGGTCACAAATGTAAAGGCGCAGTGTGGAACTTTTCGGGTGGAGGGAGCTTGTCGCCGTGGAGATTTTATTACTTTGGCCATGATATCCCATAGTACAATCTGGAAACCCGTCAATAGAAATTTGGGGGCCGAAACCTCACACGGGCCCCCTTCTAATATAAATTAAAAAGAAGAGAGTCCAATTCTGTCCCCCTTTGTGTCGACTCCCCTGGCACCAAGCCAAGTTACAAGTCAGATCTGTGGAGAGTCGTCCCTGCTCACAGTAAGAAAGCAGCTATGATTTTTTTTTAGGTATAGATCAGGAGTCGGCAACCGCATGTGGCTCTTTCATCCTTCTGTTGTGGCTCCCTGTGACTTTGGAAAATAAATAATATTGTATTAGTATTGAATTACACTGTGTTTTTATTTTAGTTTGATCCCTTTTAAATGTAATTCTAAATTTGTAGATTATGGTAATCTTGTAACATACCAATAAAAAGTTTTTAATATTTTTGTCACCCAAAATGTGAGTCAAAGCCACAAATGTACGACACCCGGCACAGATCTGGTAGCCCGGACTTACCGGCACCGACATCAGCAGCATGATTTATTGAGCTTTTCGATCCCTGGTAGGTAAATGATAGCCTGATTCATCAGACAGTTTTACTTCGTAGAAACCGTCTGACCTTGCAGTGTTAGAATTCGACGGTAGTTGGGTACTTTTTATCAGCAATTAAGCCCTGATGAAGAGCAGTTAAGGTCCAAACATGTTGGCTTTGGCCATTCAAATAAAGGCCTTTTAACTATGTTTTTCCTCGTGCGATGTGTTAACTTTTTCTACTTGTTTGGAGTGCCTGGAATCTTTTGTGTTTGAGTTTTGATCCTTTTTCCAAGAGCACCCTCTGCTTGCTCCCACTGATTGGAACCAAGCCCCCAGGTTCCAAAATGGCCGCCCATTCAAGTCAATGGACTGAGCTCAATGGCGCATGATCCCAGATTAGCCTAGCCCGGCGAGGTACTTCCGGTGGCTGTGGGCCGACCGAGCATGCGCAGTAGTGCTCTTTTCTCCCACGGGCACACGCGAATGCACGCGACCACACGCAGCGCGGGCTCGTGTATCACGTGATCGCTTTGACCAATCAGAGCGAGAGGAACGAGAGCGGAGCAGAGCGGAGCCGGAGCTAACGAATATAAAGCGTTTTTTTAAGACAACTGAAGGATTTTGAGCGAGAAAAAGTTTATGATCTAAAAATAGGTAAAAATCGCCACAAAATCCGACATTTTTGAAAGTTGTAGGTCCCTGTCAGCCGAACACGAGCAGGTTGTGATTACATTGCCTCTATGAGAAAAATCTTCTCTCGGCCCATGGGATTTTTTCGACTGTAGTACCACTGAGTGGCCACTACATCAACTCGAGGCAGCTACAAGCAGCAATACTGTATCCAGTTATTTTAATAGATCCATGATTGGAACACCTGCAGCAAACAGCCACATTTTTGTTCTTTCTGCTTTTTATCATCGTTGCTATTTGGTCGTCAAGTATGTAATGCGCCGCTAACGGGCCTAACTGGTATATTAAGCTTTTCCCAAATCCCGTATGAAGAAGGGCAATAATGTCTTTCCCCTTGATGAAATTCACCAAACATTCTCTTTATTCTGGCTTTAAATCCTCGATCTCGGGAATCGTTGACAACACTGAAGATATCACTGTTCGCTGATTGACTGGTGCCCGAACTTGCACTTCCGGGGTTTTTTGCGAACCGTCTATGGTATTTTGATTCCTGACTTAGTCGCTGGAGAGAAATGAAATTAAGCCGAGGCACTAGGTAGCGCCAGCCTGATAGGTAAATGATGGATAAATCCAAGAAAAGAAAAGTTTCTGAAGAAAACAGAACGTTTAATGCTACATGCTCAGATTCATTTGAGTTCACAGCTGATAAGACACACGATAAAATTATTCTGGAACACAGAAGCAGATGGCGTTTTTGGTTCACTACGAGTGGATAATTTAAGTCTGGATTTTTATTTCCTGCGAGGAGAACTCAGAAAGACATTGAGTAATAATGTGTTTAATACGGCTTTGCGTACCTCTGTTTACGTTTTACAGAAACAAAACTTAAACCCACATGGCTCATTTGCATAAACTATGAGCACTGAAAAAAACAGCTAATTCCTTGTGACAGAGGATGTGCTGCTGATGGTGAGTCTTTTCTGTGCATATATCGTGTTGGAAATGGTTCATGTGAAACTTTTTGGAGATAATATGTCTGTAGCATTTCTTTGATTTCATAAATGCAACTCACTATAGTCTTTTGTACAGAGCATCCAGGTAAAAAAATCATATAATCATATGCAGTGTTATTTTCATTTTAGATGTGAAAGGTTTTTGTGGCTCCGGGTGTTTTCTTTTCTGTGGGAGACGCTCCAAATGGTTCTTCAAGTATTTAAGGTTGCCGACCCCTGATATAGAGATTTGACTGGTTGAATGACAAACCATATAACATTCAGGGCAAAGCAATAACATCTCCATAGCGACAAGCAAGTGACCTCCACCAGAAATGTCACGCAGTGCATCTTTAACATACAACCTGGGCTATTTTCTTTAATACTGCATACCCCTTACTCTTAAAAAAGGGAGTTTTCTGTACAAACCTGTGGAATGGGAAATCTTTGGTCAACATCGGCGACAACAGAAACAGGACAAAACACCGTACAATAAATTATCGATCACAACATAGAGAATTTCAGCCAAAAAATCCGATTTCATTTTTGTTCAAAGAAATGTCGATGACACTTGTAAAATGTTACTTCAAAATGTCCAAAATACATTACATACAACGACTCACAACTGAAGATCGGACCACACAAGGGAATGTCACTGGGCAAAAAGGCAATCCAATAATGTTATTTTAATGATGTTTTTAAATTATGCTTAAAAAAAATGTATTACTAAGAAAAAAATGTGTGTAATGTGAAAATTGTTTCAAGTTTATTCTGGACTAATGATAATTTAAGTTGCGATTCTTTATAGTAATACGATTGAGAATAAGATTGTGCTTGTGTCTGCACCTTTCAGACCCTTTACAGCATTTTGAATTGATCTCAAGTATAAATACTGGTAAATTATGGTGATTTGGCAGGATTTTAAACCAGACGCCCTTCCTATCCATTACAATACTGTGACTGGAATAGGAAACGTGATGAAATGTCCGACATGGAGACGCAGTATGCACCTCCGCAGTGATTTAACCCTGCTTCCTTCTGGTCTGATGGCGATTGTTTAACATCTGTGCCACTGTTATTGACGTTAAACTTTGACTATAACATACTAAACTCAAGCTGCATCTTTAAAACTGCTTTATAGGGGTGTAACGATATCCAAGTCTCATGATACGGTATCGTCACGGTGCAATATTTATTGCAATATCGTGGGAAAGCTCACGATATCCTCCTGAGACCCGGCCCATTCATTCATTTGTGTCCTTTATAGTGGACATTGAGATAACCAGTCGATCTTTTAAGTGTTTTTGAGATAGACTCTTCATGGGGGGAGGAGTTTCCTCTGCCTAAATAGGGCACTTTTTGAGGCAACTGTAGAAGCTTGTCAAAAATGTTGGTCACAAAAAAGTTGTTATTGTACGGTTGTTAATTTCACATGGATTTAACACCAAAATGTCCCAGACGTCCAATACAGTGGACATGTTATAAAATTATAATTAAAAATAAAATAAACAAAATCTAAATGCTAAGGTGTTTGTTTACCTCCAAATAGAGAGAAAATCACAAAAAATATATATTGAAATACACTTTTTTTCTTCGAGTCCCAGGAGGATATGGTGGGGAGGTTCATGATTAGGGATGTAACAATATCAGAATCTCTCTGTACGATATTTTCACGATATACGTCTCACAGTACGATATTTATTGCGATATTTTGTGGAGGCTTACAAACAAAACTGTTAATAGGCAATTTTTTCCTCTTAAAATGCCTTGACAAGACTTAATCCAAAGAACTAAGACTTAAAAGTGCTTAGAACTTTTATTTCTTCTTGTAGTCTGCGCTGAAATGGAGCAAAGGATCATGGTCTATGTAGTTCCCTCTGTCTTTTTAGCTATTGCTGCACCATAACTCTTAATTTAAGCAAAAAGACTTCTAATTCAATATATTGTGATGGTCCACGATATTATTGTGCGAACTTTGACGATACGATCTCACGATATTTTGGTTATTGTTACACCCCTACTGCATTACAAAACTATTTTATACTAAACAAGTGGCAATTGTGATGATTTTTTTGACGTAAATACCAGACTTTACCCATCAGAGACCACTGAGCAGTAACTGTATTGATTGTCATTGAGATTCTGGCTTAATTGTGGTAAATATTTGTACCAGGTAATACAAAATTTAAACAATTCTAAAAATCGTCTAGCTCTAGTGTAAATATTTAGTGTCGTAAATACCAATGTGAATTCTTCTGAGCAATTTTTGACTTGAAAAATTTGAGAATTCGATCTAAAAATTTATATAAAAACAGTTTAATTCTACTTTTCGAGGAGGGATATTATGAAAAGTGCTAAATGGTGAGCCTTTGTGTTGGTGCCCAGTAATAGAATATAATATAAAACATACACACGTCGACGTTTAACACAGATTTTCAGTCATTTTTTCAGTCTCTACTCTTGGTCCATGGTTGGTCCTGAGCTCACCGCGAGGTTTCTGTGTAGATTTGGGTTTTGACTGTGCCTGTTCCGACTCCTCACGGACGAAAAGGAAGTATCGCAACCCGGGACCTTACATTTGTGCAGCAACCTCAAATGCACAGTTTTATAATGCGCTCTGAAAGTCCCCTTGTTGCTATAGACTTTTTGACACACGTGGCAAGTTATCGGAGACCCCGCCCCGTTCGCCTGCGCCCCTCCGCCCCCTTGCCCCGCGCAGTTCATGATCCCGTCCGCGTTCAGCTCCTGGCTTTTCCCGATATTGCCGTCGCAGCTTTCCTCGCTGTCTTCAATCGGAATGTCAAGATCTTCCATCCCTTCCTCGCTCCCGGCTCCATCGGAATCCCACGACGACCGAGCGCTACCGCTGCCCCGGACCGGACCGTAAGAGGAAGTGCTCAGGTCTAAAACCGCGCCGTCTTCCCCGCCGGCGCCCCCTACCGTCTCCTCATCCAAATTGTCTCTCGCCGGGGAGTTGCCGTTGCTGTTGGGAATGCTGGAGAGTTTGCTCATAGGGTACACCAGGCCCATTCGGTTGTGTCCCCTGAAGATGACGGAGGTCTGGGTGGCGGGGTCCCGGGTCAGGGGGTCTCGGGGGTCCAGGGGCTCCGGGGGGAAGTCCAGAGCGGAGTCCCGGTCTCGGCAGAGGGAGAGCGGGGAGAAGCGGCCGCTCGGGGGGCTGTAGGGGTCTTTGGTCAGGAGCTTGTGGTGGAGGTTCAGGTTGGAGCTGTGTCTGCGGAGAGAAGAGGGTTGAGAAAGTGGATTTAGTTTGGTTTTGTTGAAATGTTTAGTAAAAAATCTAATTATGTCCAACTTTTAGACCAACTTCTGTATTATCTGCTTTTAATAATGAATGTGTGAGTGTTTTTTAAAGCTACTTCTGCCCTTTGAATTGCACCGAGGGACAACGAACGACTGATACAAAATCTTAGTCTTATCAAAATATAATAATAACAATAATAATAAGACACTGGTTTTATACTTTTCATGGTAACACAAAGACTAAAATAACACTAAAACAACGACAAGGACAAGACAAAAGAGTAATGAAGAGCGATCATGTGTGGCATGGATAGGCTGTGAGAAAAAGGTGTGTTTTGAGCAGTTTTTTAAAGGTGTTTAGTGCGTCTGAGTTTCTAGATACTCACTTCATTAGGAAAGAATATTATTTTTGTGTTTAAAATGACGTGTGAAAAATCCCTCCCAAACAGAATCAGTGGCAAAGGAGAAATTCAATTTGTGTTAGTTTCAGAGTAGTTTCATTGTAGTTAGCTCCTCCCTTCAAACAGATATAAGGAAGTGTCCACAAGCATTTTGACCAGAACTGAAGAAGCAGCTTGGATAAACTGCCAAACGTATTCAACCAAATAAACATTTGTCCAGTTGACTAATCGAATTTCTCCTTTGCCATGTTTAAAATGACAATATATTGTGTAAAAAAGAGGGTTTTTAAATATTACTTGTTCTGAGTTTCTTTCTTAGTATCAAAATCGAGTTCGAAATGCAGGTACCGTGACACTTAATCAAATCTAGACTTAGGTAAATTTATTTTTACAGGAAACAAGTTCAAATTGTCACTTTCACTTAACATAAAACCATAATGTATTTTCTAATAGATAAATAAAAGCCCCATCGCGTAACATTTTTGATAGTAATTCAGTGAACTGCTATGCAAACTAGATGAAATACCTAAAAAGTTAATTCACAAATGGATCATTTCTATCAGTGACTAGTACTAGAACAAAAATCTTCATTCGAACAATTTTCATTTCAGCCGCCCCCATTAGTTTTTCTGTAATAAGTATTATTGTTCATTAGAAGTGAATCATCAATCATCATCTGAAGCACAGCAATAATAACAGACCAACTTCTGTATAATGTGCTCTTTTAATAATAAATGTGAGTTTTTAAAAGCTACTACTGCCCTGCGGGGACAAATGAAGATATTTAACTTGACTGCTTGATCTAAATCTAATATCAAAACTGAATATTCATTTGACACTGAAAAGAAACTTGCATCTACAGAAGCAAATCTGACCTTTCTGAATGCTATATGTATGTAGAATAAAAACTTGAAGGTGTTTAAAGAAATACTATAAATGACTTGAATTTCTGGTTTGAAAATTACATTCTATTGTGCTTAAAAGAGGGTTTTTAATTGTATTTGCCCTTTGAAAATTGGATATTGAATATTTAGCCTTTAACTTTAGATTTAATGTAACGTTACGAAACTCGATTTCAATACTAAGGGTCAAGTCAAGTTAAAGTAAAATTACAATTTCCATCTTGTGTATAATGTGTTCTTTTGATAATGAATGTGAGTTTTTAAAAGCTACTACTGCCCCGCGGGGACAAATAAAGATTTAACTTGACTGCTTGATCTAAATCTAGTATCAAAACCGGATACTCATTTGACACTGAAAAGAAACTTGCACTGATATAAGCAAATCTGACCTTTGTAGATTGAAACTTCAAGGTATTTAAGGAAATACTCTTAATTCTGTTCTAAAAATTACATTCTATTGTGTTAAAAAAGAGGGGTTTTGTTGTCTTTGTGGTTTAGAGTATTTAGCGTTTTTCTTAGTATCGAAATCAAATTTGAAATGTTAGTTTTGTGATGTTAAATTAAATCTAAACTCAAGTTAAAGTAAAATTACAATTTCCATCTTGTGTATAATGTGTTCTTTTAATAATGAATGTGTGTTTTTAAAAGCTACTACTGCCCCACGGGTACAAATAAAAATATTTAACTTGACTGCTTGATCTAATTCTAGTATCAAAACTGGATACTCATTTGACACTGAAAAGAAACTTGCACTGACAAAAGCAAATCTGACGTTTGTAGATTGAAACTTCAAGGTATTTAAGGAAATCCTATTAATGATTTGAATTTCTGGTTTGAAAATTACATTCTATTGTGTTAAAAGAGAGTTTTTAATTGTCTTTGCGCTTTCAAAATTGGTATTGAGTATTTAGCCTTTTCCTTAGTATCAAAATCGAGTTTGAAATTTTAGTTTGTGACATTGAATTAAATCTAAACTCAAGTTAAAGTAAAATTACAATTTCCATCTTGTGTATAATGTGTTCTTTTAATAATGAATGTGAGTTTTTAAAAGCTACTAGTTCCCCGCGGGGACAATTTAACTTGACAGCTTGATCGAAATCTAGTATCAAAACTGGATACTCATTTGAATAAGTATTGACGCTGAGTAGAAACTTACATCGACGTAAGCAAATCTGACCTTTGTAGATTGAGACTTCAAGGTATTTAAGGAAAAACTATTAATTCTGTTTTGAAAATTACATTCTATTGTGTTAAAAAAGAGGGTTTTTATTGTCTTTGCGCTTTCAAAATTGAGTATTTTCCTTAAATTTTCCTTAGTATCAAAATCGAGTTTGTAATTTTAGTTTTGTGACGCTAAATTCAATTTAAACTCAAGTTAAAGTAAAATTACAATTTCCAACTCCAGTATAAAGTGTGTTTTTAAAAGCTACTAATGCCCCGTGGGGACAAATAAAGATTTAACTTGACTTCTTGATCTAACTCTAGTACCAAAACTGGATACTCATTTGACACTGAAAAGAAACTTGCATCGATAGAAGCAAATCTGACATTTCTGAATAGTTTATATTTGCAGAATGAGACTTCAAGGTGTTTGAGGAAATACTATTCATATTTGTATTCATTCTGTTTTGAAAATTACATACTTTTGTGTTAAAAAAGAAGGTTTTTAAATGTCTTTACGCTTTCAAAATTGGGTATTTGAGTATTTCGCCTTTTCGAGTTTGAAACTGAAATGAAATCTAAACTCAAGTTAAAGTAAAATTACAATTTACATGAAACAAAAAAGAGGAGATTAAGTTCAAATTGTCGCTTTCAATTAACACGAAACCTTGTCTGACAAATAAAAGCTCTCATTTTTCTTTCTCAGTCAGTGAAATGTTACGCAAACCCACTTGTTCCTGTAGACGATTTAAGTCACAAAGCCAAAACTCAAATCCACACGACCTGAAACCGTCTAGAAATGATAAAAATACAAATCCATATATAGTCTTGATTTGCGAGTGTGAAACTTTGTGGTGTAAAATTTGCTATTCAATATTGACAGCTGATGAATAAATAAACAGCCATCTTCTTGTTTACAGACTCATTTTGCCTTATAAGACTGCGAGGACACTAAACAGACTCTGATTTCTCTCACTACACAAGAATGTACAAATCGATATGTGACCGCGCTGACCCCGTTTAATAACAGCTGCTGGAGTTTTTCAAAAATTTATGCAGTTTCCAGCACAAAACACCACATCTCGACGCGCAAGTGAAATGTCTCTGCACTATCCGTAACGGGGAACTAAATACGTGCGCGTCAATATATTATAATACTGTAGAGAAGTCTATATTTGGAGATTCAGTAAGAAAAGTGCACGTCGTGATAAATATGCAGCACTTCCCACGGCTGTAGCTGGGGCTGGAGTCTGAAAAAAAAAATCCACCAAAAGGCCAAGTCCTGCAGCTGTCATTGAAAATCAGGTCCGCACTGTCAAGTACAGATTTCGTTTTTCGGCTGAAAGTAAATATGTTGAAGTGGTTGGAAATTCTAGCGTATTTTTAATCAAAACGAAACGTGATATTGTGCTGGAAATACTAGTTCTTCGTCTCACACTTGCACACACACGGTAAATAGTCTAAAAATACCACAACTTTAAGGATTTAGGAGTTAATATTAGCGCAAATAAATAAAAACTTGACAAATATTTCACTCTGAATCAATAAATTCCATATATTTGTGACCGAAATTGGAAGATAAATGAGAATATTCATCGTTTTCATGAAAAAGTAGGACGGTTGCCATAGAAATTAGAAACAAAAATGGCAGTAAAATTTGACTTTTCGTTGTTTTCATGAAAAAGCCGGTCTGTTGTCATAGAAATTTGAAACAAAAATGCCAAAAAACAAAACTTAAAATTTGAAATGGCGAAAAACTCCTCAAAAATTTCGATATTTATGCATTTAGACGGTGCTCAAATTTTCAGAAAAACAAATTTTTATGTGCTACTATTGTTAATTGTCGACTATTATTGCTTTTTAAACATTAAAAACATACATTGAAATAATATAAAATAACCACTTTAAATATTTAGTGTTAATATTAGCGCAAATAAATAAAAACTTGACAAACATTTCACTCTGAATGAATAAAAAATCCATATATTTATGACTGAAACTGGAAGATAAATGAGAGTATTCATCATTTTCATGAAAAAGCAGGTCTGTTGCCATAGAAATTTGGAATGGCGAAAAACTCCTCAAAATTTTATATATTTATGCATTTCGACGGTGCTCAAAATTTCAGAAAGACAGGTAAAAAAAATCCATATATTTATGACTGAAACTGCAAGATAAATGAGACTATTTATCATTTTTATGAAAAAGTAGGACTGTTGTCATAGAAATTAGAAACAAAAATGGCACAAAACAAAAAAAAAACTAAAATTTGGAATTAAAATTTTCAATATTTATGCATTTCGATGGTGTTCAAAATTTCAGAAAGTGAGGTTTTTATGTGCTTCTCTTGTCAATTATCAACTACTATTGCTTTTTGAACATTGAAAACATACATCAAAATAATATAAAATAACCACTAACAACAAATAAATAAAAACCTGTTATAAATTTCACTCTGAATCAATAAATATCCATATATTTATGACTGAAACTGTAAGATAAATGAGAATATTCATTGTTTTCATGAAAAAGTAGGTCTGTTGCCATAGAAATTAGAAACAAAAATATCACAAAAACAAAAAAAACTAAAATTTTGAATCAAAATTTTATATATTTATGCATTTTGATGGTGCTCAATTTTTCAGAAAGACTGTAAAATGGAAAATAAATGAGAAAATTCATCGTTTTCATGAAAAAGTAGGACTGTTGCCATAGAAATTAAGAACAAAAATGGAAAAATAAACTGACTAAAATTTGGAATGGAGAAAAACTCCTCAAAATTTTTGATATTTGCATTTAGATGGTGCTCAAAATTTCAGAAAAACTTTTTAAAAATCCATATATTTATGACTGAAATTGGAAGATAAATGAGAATATTCATCGTTTTCATGAAAAAATAGGTCTCTTGCCATAGAAATTAGAAACAAAAATGGCAAAAAACAAACAAAAACTAAAATTTGAAATCAAAATTTTATATATTTATGCATTTCGACGGTGCTCAACAGGTTTTAATGTGCTTCTATTGTCAATTGTCCACTACTATTGCCATTTAAACATTAAAAACATGCATCAAAATAATATAAAATAAAAAAACTGTCGATTATAACGTTATTTTTCAAGCTGAAATCTCAATACTGAATGAAAAACCCCACCCAGCTGCACCCATTAACTTCACCTGCCACTGTAATAACACTGTGTACCTCCCCCCTCCTCCTCTTTCTCCTCGTCTTCCTCCTTCTCTGTCTGTATTTATAAACTCCCCTCTGTTTTCTCTGGAGCGTCTTTGGCCCTGATCCAGACTTGAGCCGAACAAGAGTCAAACACACAAACACAATGAATAAACCATTAGCATCCATAGCCTTTGTATTGGCTCCACCGCTGCTCGTACAGTTAGACGCCGTTTGGTTTGCAGTCGCGTTTTTACTCTTGTGGTGTACCAGTGTATACAAGCACCAATTTCAGCTCCACCGCTCGCTGCACCAGACCACAAGTGAAATCTGAGGCCTCTTAAAATCCAGTAATGTGGGTATTTGTAAAAATCTGTGTGGTTAATGAATTATAATGTTTGTGGGTTCGTCGCGGAAAAAAAAACTGTGCCGTGTTTCAGTTCAAGCAACGTCCAGATAATTTCCCTTGTGGATCATCAAAGTTTGTCTTTGTCTAATATACCGACTTACTTATTCTTAAAAGTCAGATTTTACTTCATATACTGGCTATTTTATTTGATTATTTTGCTATGTGCACTACTTTGTAAACAGCTTTTATTTGCAAAACGTGGTCATTTCAGTTTCCTCTTATATGCAAAATTTCGAGCTTTTTCAGCGTTTCAAAGATGTAATATTTTGCTTTTAATTGTTAATCACTATGGCGACTGACCAAATTTTTCATCAGTCTGAAACGTGTGAAAAATCTCTCAGTCGTCCAGGTAGAATCCATCGAAAAAGGAGAAACTCAATTTGTCGACTGGATAAAAGTTTATTTGGTCGAGTACGTTTCGCAGCTCGTCCAAGATGCTTCTTCAGTTCTAAAGTCCAGGTTGGTTCTTGGTTCTACACAACCAAATAAACTTTCGTTCAGTCGACAAACTGAATTTCTCCTTCGCCATCATTCTGAAACCCATGGATGTTGTTTGGATTGACTAAAAATAGAAGGTATATTTCAAGTTTAGAACCACAGGGAAGCATCTGCCTTAGACTCTCATACAGTTGTTTTTCTGTCATGTTTTCAAATAAAATAGAAAACACACACTAAAGTCGTAGTGGAGGTGAAAATGCAAAGAGCAGCACTTTTAAATCTCTGTCATGGTTTAACATCAGCGTGAGAGAAAGAGGGCGGGGCTAACTGTTATTTCTGAAACATGTTTTTTTTTTTGCGCACTCATGGTTCAAATCAGGTGTTGCTGTTTCAGGTGACAAAACAACCTTCTATGGACCAATATTATTAATTAATATTGTTCAAATGCAGATTTCTCTTGTAATAAATGTGGTTCTTATGTAGTAATGTCTAGTCTAACAGAAATGATCAAATTCAACACTTGATGACAAAATCAGAGAGCTGCATCTTAGGATCCTGTATTGTATTGTTCTGTTTTGAATGTTTTTTCTTTCTTTTCTGTTAATGCTGTTTTTGTTAATGTATTTAGGACCTCCTCGCAAACATGATGCTATATCTCAATGGGCTTCCCTTATGAATAAATAAATAAATAAAACATTTGTGAATTTACGTTTTAGATATTTCAAAGCAAAGCACAACGTAATCAGCGCTAAAAACTGTCTCTTGTTCCCATTTGCGAGTTTAACATCATCAAATTCTAGATCTGAAAACCATCAATTGGCCCTTTAAGTCGTATCTATACAATATAAACAATATTTTTTAACAATATTTAATGAAATTTGCTCTTCTCCTTTCTAAACAAATGACAGAAATGCAAAATCAACATTTAAATTTGGTTGTTAAAGGTGCAGATGTAACTTTTCTGGTAAGAGTCCAGCAGCTGGTTGTGTCTTTGGAGATTGCTTTTCCTGGAATGTACCGCAGTATGGCATTAAACTTGCTTATTATGTAAATACAACAAACATTCTAGGCACATCTCCATGACCAGACGAGTTACATAGTGCACCTTTAAATTTTGATTAATTGTGATTTTTACCATTTTTTTGTTTTGCAGTGTACCATAATAAAAAAATTTAACATAGAAATCATTTGACCTTAAATTCTTGTCTGTGTCTCACCTGTCTCTGCTTCGTCGCGATGGGAAAGCTGCGTTGCACCCGTCCACCGTGCACAGATGCATCTCCTTTAGGTGCACGCTCTGATAATGCATTTTAACACTGTACGGGTTTTTAAAAGTCTTGCTGCAGATCTCACAGTGGTGCGGCATCTCCGAATCCTCGTCCAGATTCGAATCTCCAAAATCTTCAAGCTCTTCCTTTTCCTGGTCTAAATTCTGCGGAGAGCTCCCGTTGGTCAGTTCTCCGTTGCTCCACCTGTGCTCTGAAATCTTGTGCGTGGTAATTTCGTCTTTCTCATCCTCGGCGTTCATTGCGTTTTTTTCCGATTTCTCGAAAGGCGACGTCGCGCAAGTTATGACTCCAGTTTCAACTTGCCTGCCGTCTTGTTTGTCGAAATTATCCCCCAGATTTTGCTTGTCGTTGTTTTCGAATTCATTTTTCCTCGCCAGTACGTGATTGTCAAACTCCTCCTTGCCGTGCAGCATCTCGTCTTCGGAGCTGCTACCTTTGTCCATGAGTTCGTTGTTTAGTTCCATCGTCTCTTTCTCGATTTTGATCGGCATACTCGATTTGCGCGACTTCTTCTTTGGTATGGGGTCTAAAATACACGGCTCCTGCATCGTCGTCGGTTTGACTGTCACCGATGACGACAAAAGCGGCAAAGACGGCAAAGTCCCCGGCGTATTCGCGAGCTCGGCCGGCGTGACTAAACTACGGTAAAACGGTAAAACTGGCTGCACTGTTTTCAAATTCGGAAACAGAATCCCGCTTTGCCCGATACTCGAAAACGACGAATTGAGTTTGGAACCGTTCTCGACTTGGCTGATCATGTAACTTGGCATGGACTTGTGATTGTCTGAAATCGGACTTCCGTAATCGTTGCGTTTTTCTTGCGAGTTCTCATCCGCGGACAGGCTACCGCGCAAATCCTTATCTCTGTTGTTGCGGTTCATCGGCATGTGCAAGCGGGGGTTGGGGTTGGCGCTGTGCCTGTTGCGGCTTCGGAGCGAGCTAAAGACCATGTTGCAGCCCTCGATGGTGCACTTGTGTTTGATTTTGAGATGCACGGCGTTATAGTGGATTTTCAAAGTCCCCTTGTCGTAGAATGTCTTTTCGCAGGCGTTGCAAAACACACGCCCTTTCTTCATCGAGCTGACTCCCCCCGCTCCTATCCCCCCGTTGCTTGTCAAAACAGCACCTCCGCCGCTCGGCCCGTTTCTATCGAGGGAGCGCATCTTTCCCTCAGGCGACATCTGCGCTACCTCTGAGCTCATTGAAGGCGTGCAGGGAGTCGAGGGCCCGTCTGAGTAGTTATCGCTGGTCGAGAAATCCTCAGGTTCGATTTTCGTGGTGGCGTTTCCTTGGAGACCGTCTAACTGTTTGTCAGAGTCCAAATCGGAACCGAACGGAGCCGAGCCGGCCCCCAAGAGACCGCCGTCATTTGTATGCGAAAGAGTTAGTTGGTTCGCGAGGCTGTCCCGACTCGGCTCGTCCCGCCTTTGGTTTTCCATGGTGGCGCGCTGCTGGTGTTGTTGGAGCATGCTGTTTTGCGAGCCTAGAAACGGGGTGGGGACTGAACCGAGGAGCTGGAAAGGAAGCATAAACGCCATGCTGTTGATGAAGTTCTCGAAATGGTGCATGCTGTTGCCGCTGAGCTTCTCGACGTTGGTGGTGGTGAGGTTGGCGGTGGTCCTCGGCGTGTTGCGTTCGATGAAAGTGCGGATGTCGGAGTTGGTGCGAGTGCTTGGGACTAAAACAGCCTGGCCCTCCTTGTCCTGCAGAGCCATGAGTTCAACGATGGATTTAGTTTCTCCAAAGCGAAGGAACTGTTGCAAAGTCGCGATCTCCTCTTCGAACGTCATGATCGCCCAACGGTCCAGAACCTTCCCAGCAACATCCTGAAACAAAAGAAAAAGACTATGTATTAATTATATCAGAGCGTTGTTTATATTGTTGTACTGATAGGAAAATCGACACAGAAGAATCCTAATAGTACTTAGAAGGGATGTAACAATTTCCAAATCTCTCGGTACAATATTATCACGATATTTATTGCTGAGAGGCTGATATAATTGTAGATAGGACACTTTTTTGCTTTTAAAATACCTTGACAAGATTTTGGTGTGAATTATTTCCATCATAATCCCAAGAATTCAAGTAAAAAACATATTTCTTCATGTTGTCTGTGCTGAAATGAATCATGGGATATGTAGTTTTCTATGTTTATAAGCTGTTGCTACTGTAAAACAATGCATTTAAGCAAAGAAATTTGTAATTTGATATATTGTGACATCCCACGATATTATTGTGAGACAATACGATATCACGATATTTCGGTTATTGTTACATCTCTAGTACTTAGTAAAGTATCTTAAGTGTTAAAATGATGATAGAAGGATAAAGGCATTTGTAGACATTATCTATAAATTATATTCTTCGTGTGCTTGCCTCTCTACAGATCTGACCTATGACCTTGTTGTCTCTGGAAAATAGATAAATTGAATGCCGTGCTGTGGCAAAAACATCTCCATGGTAACAAGGCCGTGATGGAGAATTCACAAGAGAAGCGACATAGTGCACCTTTAAAACAATTTACATGTAAAATTACTAGGAATGTAATAATAATGGAGATACTGTGAAATTGTATCGTCGAAAGTCTCACTACTCAATAATATCGTGGACCATCACAATATCGAATCACAAGTCTCTTTGCTTAAATTAAGAGTTATGGTGCAGCAATAACTTAACAGAGGAGGGAACTACATAGACCATGATCCTTTGCTCCGTTTCAGCCAGACTAAATGAAGAAATAATTGCTCTAAACTGTTTTAGAATAAGTCTTGTCAAGGGATTTTAAGAAAAAAAAGTAGAAATTTCTTAGCAAAAATATCGCAATAAATATCGTACAGTGAGATACATATCGTGAAAATATCGTACAGAGAGATTTGGATATCGTTACATCCCTAAAAATTACTTATATGTCTGATGATGTGTATGGTTAACAAAATTATATTAAAATGTACTTATACTTTTGAAACTAACTAATTGTTTTATTTCATTCTGTCTGAAATTATTAATTCATAAATTTGTGGTTTTGTTGTTTATTTGCATTATGATATTTTCCAAAAAATACAATGCAGTTACAATTGGTCGATCACTGTCATGTGACTCCTATCTCTGGTTCTAAGGACTTTTTTTAAAAATTTTTTTTCATCAAGTTTATATCCAATCCAACTTTATTTGTATAGCACATTTTATAAACAAGACAGTTTCCAAAGTGCTTCACAAACAAGAGGAACTAATAGAATCTATAGATAAACAAATAATAATAAAATAAAAAAAAATAAAAATTAAATCTATAAATAAAGGCAGTACTAAAAAATAAAATACATAAATAAACAATAAATAAATAAATAAAAACAAGAGGAACTAATAGAATCTATAGATAAACAAATAATAATAAAATCAACAACAAAAAAATAAAAAAATCTATAAATAAAGGCAGTACTAAAAAATAAAATATATAAATAAACAATAAATAAATAAATAAAAACAAGAGGAACTAATATAATCTAGGGATAAACAAATAATAATAAAATCAATGAACAAAAATAATAAAATCAATAAATAAAGACAGTACTTAAAAAATAAAATAGATAAAAAATAAAATAAAATAAATAAATAAATAAATAAACGACACAGATGACCGTGCAACTTATAGGTATAGTTAAAGCTAATTAAATTAATACATTTGGGTTCATAATGTAGCCTTAAACCAAAAACTGTGTGCAATTTCACAGCCACAGTCTTTGAAAATATCTCGTTGATTAAAATAACTCGTCTTAAATAAGTTTGTTTAGAGAAAGAGTGCGCGGCGCCAGGGGACAGAGCAAGGTTAGCCAGAGGGAGCGTTCATATCATTAGTATTGTGCGTGTCTCCCGCGCTCATACATATTCAGGAGACGCTTTACGTGACATAACCCATGAAGAAGAGTGGCAGCGCGGCTAAATAAAGGAATTACAGTTGGAGCTAATTGCAGCGGGCAGCCGAGCGTTTCATCTCCCAGGTCGTTCTTCTTCATTTGAATCACTGGAGTTAGCACGTTAGCGGGTTAGCGAGATAGCCGCCGTCGTGTTTTTAGCTAGCGCTGACATACGCCCCGGCGCGCCCACTTAGCATTGTACGAGTATCACATCACAAACTATGTACACGCACAAGAAATATATTATAGTGTATAGAATTACAGACTTGATTTTGATATTGTTTCTTTAGAGAATTCATGAATACGGTGACCAGATTTATCCAAAACCACTGATTTGTCCCAGTTTTATACAAGAAATGTCGCTAGTGTCACTATTTTTAACCAATTTGATCCTTTTCAACAGTAAAGTGAGGCATACATTGTTATTTGTTTAGCTACTACTACTACCACTACTACTAATACTACTACTATGACTACTATTACTATTACTACTACTACTACTACTACTAACTAATACTACTACGAATACTACTAATACTACCACTACCACTACTATTACTATTACTACTATGAATACTACTAATACTTCGACTATTATTACTATTACTACTACTACTACTACCACCACTACTATTACTATTACTACTACTACTACTACTACTATGACTACTACTACTAATACTACTACTACAACTACTATTACTACTACTACTACTACGACTACTACTAATACTACTGCTACGACTCCTATTACTATTACTACTACTACGACTACTATTACTATTACTAATTACTACTACGACTACTATTACTATTACTACTACTACTACTACTATTACTATTACTACTACTTGGACTACTATTACTACTACTACCACTACTATTACTATTACTAATACTACTACGACTACTACTAATACTACTATGACTACTACTATTACTACTACTACTACTACTAGGACTACTATTACTACTACTACTACCATTACTATTACTAATACTACTACGAATACTACTAATACTACTACTATGACTACTACTATTACTACTACTACTACTAGGACTACTATTACTACTACTACTACCATTACTATTACTAATACTACTACGAATACTACTAATACTACTACTATGACTACTATTACTACTACTACTACTACTACTAGGACTACTATTACTAAAAAAATGTCTATACTCAGAGGTGGTGCTACCATTAGGCAAAAGTAGGCGACTGCCCAGGGCCCCCAAACCTGGAGGGGCCCCCAAACAATTGCCCTCAGTGCCACTAATGGCCGAGACCTCAGAGCAATTTGACATTAAACAATAATCATAAGAAAAATAATCATATGTAATGGGTGTAAACAAAAATGTAATTGTACTAACAAAAAAAAAACAACTTTCAGCTCTGGTTCAGCTTTAGTAGGCGACCAAACTAATAAAAGTTTCCAATCCACTTCAAATTCCACAATCCAATTCTAGTTCAAATAAATAAAGATGTGCATGTCTCAGTAACAAAGGGGAAAAACAGACAATAAATATATTAAAAACCAAAACAAAACGGTGCATTATAATGAAGGCCCCACACTTAAGTTCGCCTAGGGCCCCCAAATTTTTAACAGCACCACTGACTGTACTGACTCACATGTTAGTCATGAATGGGCTGAGGGCAGAACAATTTTCCTTAATTACACACTCGTTTCACAATTTTATTATTACCAACCACCACAAACCCAAAGGATGTCCCAGGGTTTTTTTTATTTTATTTTGGAAATCTAGTCACCCTATTCATGAATGAAAATTGCCAGTGGACATAGCACCATTGCGATGTATTTAAAGGTGCACCATGTAACTTTTCTGAAAACGGGGCCATCACCTGCTCGTTTTTTTTGGAAATGTTGCAGTAATTCTTTGCCTTTGGAATGTTCCACAGGCATTAAATTTAATATTACTGTCTTCAGATGTTTTTATCCCTGTTGTCAGATGAAGAAAAAAGGTAGAGCGCTTCACCAGGTCATAAAAAGAGTCAAAAATAGCAGTACAAGTACTCTACGAGTGGTCACTTTGCCCTGACGAAGACCATCCTGCTGGTCGAAAAGCGTTGGCGTCCCTTCATGTAATAAAGGACTTTTAATATATTCAGTCAGAGTGCCTCGGGTTTGTACCTTACCCATTTTTACATTTTCCAGTAAGGGTAATTTTCTGTTCAAATTACGCCTGTTGTATTTTAATTTCAAATTTTAGTCACAATTTGGTCTTTCTCAAATTATTTAAACTAAGGCACATGCCCATGTACTTTAAATACAGCAGAGTAATAATTTTTAGGGATGTAACATTAACCAAAATATCGAATTACAAGTCTCTTTGGTGCAGTAAAAAGACAAAGGGAACTACATAGACCATGATCCTTTGCTCCATTTCAGTGCAGACTACAAGAAGAAATAACAATTCTAAGCACTTTTAAGTCTTTGGATTAAGTCTTGTCAATGCATTTTAAGAGATAAAAGTTTTGTTCACAATGTCCACAAAATATCGCAATAAATATCGTACCGTGAGATGTATATCGTGAAAATATCGTACAGAGAGATTTGGATATTGTTACATGCTTAACTGTGAGCTTTCCCACGATATCGCAATAAATATCGTATCGTGAGACTTGGATATCGTTACACCCCTAATCATTTTCTGAAGCTACTGACTTACATTTGGATAAATTATGGACTTTTGTGTATAATAAAGTGTTCCTTTGACGAGCTCTGACGTCCTTTTACTCTATTCCAGCATCCATTTTAAACCAAGGACAATGATTTTTGAAGATCATAAAAATAAAAGTGTCAATACTGATTCAAGATTTACCCAAATAAAAATATTGGAAACGCGAGAGAGAATTTTCTAACGAGATAACAACAAGAACATATGGAATTCTGCTTGAGTAATCACATTCATATATACAGTATCACACACGGAGCCTCGTATAGATCCGTGCGTTCTCATTGGAGTTTGTGATCAGGCTGCTCCTCTCCTCCTCTCCCCGCTCTAATCACATGTGAGCTGGGCCTCTTTGAAAAGCGTAACCACGTTTAATATTTGATCACACGGCATCCACCCAGCGCCTGTCGAGGATTCTGACTCCGGCTGGCCATTAGACAAGCTAACATGAATTAAACGCACCCCAGCAGAATACATGATGGCGAGTTGATGCAGAGGAGAGAGGGAGGGGGGCGCAGTGGACGCTTACACATACATACGGGCTCAAGGACAGCTGCCGGTTGGCTTCATCATTAAAGGAAATCTCCGGTAAAAACACGATATTTACAAATGTGTTGGAGATGTCCCCGGTTCGTACTGGGAATGGAACGAAAAAGCAAAGTGGCTCCAAACTCCCTTTTCCTCAAAAATTCCTTCAGTGCCTCCTCCCCCTGACTCAAGCGTCTCTCAACAGCAGTGTCCTGTCCTGAACTACAAATCCAGCCATAAATATTTTCGATTTGATTGCTGATTTTGGATCGTTTGAGTTTATATTTATTGAAACTTGTGAGTTCTCGTGTCGACCAGGTGAGCCACTAAACAGGATTTTTGCAATAATTTCAGTTTGTTACGGTGTTGTGAGTCATGCCAGACTGCGACAAATATAAATCTGGTACGAGACGGGTTAGGACTGATCAAGTCTCTGCGCTAAAACAGGCTCAAACAGGTAAGGATAAATAAACATTATTGCTTTTTGACTCTATACAGAAACATTTACTCATTAAAGGTGCATTACGCAACATCCAGCTTACATCTTTTTTGACTTGTTTTGTGAGTGTTTTAGGTTACACTGACACTGAAATTAATCACTGTATCACGGTATCAGAAACGATTTGCTTCCAGACATGTCGTTTCTGTGTCCGCAAGTCTTCCCTATCCACACAGCTTTGAGCATATTTGTTTACATTTTACAGAAACAAAACTTAAAACCACATGGCTAATTTGCTTAAACTAAGCACTCAAAAAATTAGCTCGCTCCTTGTGCGCTGATGAGGTTCAGCTTCTGTCGGACTAAAGGACACAACTCAGTGGAATATATGTGTTCTTTCTGTGACAGAGGGGTGTTCTGGTAACCGTGTCTGAAGTTGCAGCAGCTGATTTCAAACCGAGGAAGATGGCAAGCGTGAAAACAGTCTTTTCGTGGACCGTGTGCTAGTAAGTAGTTCTAGCTACGCTGTTTCCCGTTTGTTTATGGTTTGTTTAAACTGTTTTCCGCAATAGCATCACATGACCGATGTCACGAACCCAGCGAATCAGGAAGGCGCAAGTCACAGTGACGTGGTCCAATAAGGACGGCAACCAGAGCTCCTACATCAGTGTATCAGCGTTTTCAGGTGTCCACACAGTGCAGGATCAGATCTGTACTCACATGAATTTGTAGGAGCTGGCAGCACCAGATCCTTCAGTTTCTTGAGCTATTTTCCATCAGATTAGTGTGGACAATTACTGCATCCACAATGAAAACAACTCGAATATGTTCTAGTGTGGATGGGGCCTGAATTTCTTTCTTGTGCCCGTGGATTCCTGCTGTGGGAGCCCTGGTCCCTGATCAGTGGGGCCCTTCTACACCTGCCAATCCTGCCTCACCTCCAGCCCTTGTGGCCAGTCTGCCATTTTGTGTGTGTCTCTTTCGTGTCAGCACTTTGTTTGGACTAGTATTTGTCTGACTTTGTGTATGGTGATACACTCGGTTAGTTTAGTTTAGCTCTGTTTTGTGCTTTTTTTGTTTTGTCACTTGATTCTGTTTGTGGGTTTATGTGGTTTTACTTTGGGACACTTGTGATTTGTTTTTGTGCATGTCCCTTAGTTTAATCACTCATTTTTGTATGAGCCTACATGACCCGTTTTTTATACGTTAATCCTTTTATTTTGTTTCTTAGTTTAGGTTATTCTGTGTACATATTTTTTGTTAATTTACCCTTTTACATTCCAGTTAATTAAAAAATACTTAATTTATACCATTCTCCCCGACCCGAGTGAGCTGCTTCGTAACACTAACATCTTTCATTCACTTTAATTATATGCATTTTTATTGCTTAGAAAAGTCTTCATATGACCAGGGTCGCCTCTACACAGACCTGACTTGTCCTGGGGATGTCTCCTTTTCTCCTTGGAGTTAAATAAAGTGTAATACTATCCAGTGGAACATAGCAATCTCCATGGAAACGAGCTGATTTCAGACCCTCCACTAGAAAAGTTACACAATACACTTTTAATATTGTCTTGTCTCATGGACCAAAATCATAAAACTCTCAGACAAACCTTCCAGAAACTTCTATGTCAGTGTCTTTAAAAATCTAGATTAAAATGTTAGAAGTTGACACATTTGTTCATAACACACATGCAGTTTTTTTTTTATTTTTTTTATTCTTGGCTGTCATGTCTGTTGTGAACTGTACTTTTTAAGCGCAAAATAAATGAAAAATAATGAGCCTCACCTGCAGCACGTATCCTCGTATGTAGTCCTGCAGAGTCCAGTCGAGAGCGTTGAGGATCTGGATGACCTCTTCCTGCTTGAGGACGGAGAAGAGACGGTCCAGGAGGATTTTGAGGCGGATGGGGATGGCCTGGGTCCCGTAGAGCATCAGGCTGCAGATATCAAACACCACGTTGGAGTGGACGATCTCCACTTGGCTGCTCTGGTACATGTGGTGCACCTTCAGCTTGCTCAGGGCTACAGCAAAACCACACAAACACATGCACAGAGAGAGGCGGTTATACTAAAGGACTGAGGCAGATACGTCCCTCAGGCTGGGACAGGAGACAGGAGGCAGGACGGAGCAAGAGGGACACAATGAAAAGATGTACAGTTTTAAAAATGCATGAGGTGACCAGAGGGTAGAGCTGAGTATTCAAAGTATCTACAAAACAAGACAACAAACTTTATCTGTGAGCAAATACTGAACAAAACTGTTTTTCTATCTCTCGGTTTACTCTTAAACTTCTCTCTTAAATGTGCAGATGTAAATATATTCTTTCTCCTTAGTTCTCTTAGCATATGGAATAAAAATAATGCCATAAATATCATGTACTTGTAAAAAAAAAAGAGTCTCACATGTGAAATAAAGTTTTGCAGCTGTACAAACCACTCTGTGCAAAAGAAAAATGTGGTTGTGCTAATACATTTTGTACCTGTATCAATATTTTATATGTGTAGAGTAGTTTTGCATATCTTTATTATTTTGTGCGTGCGCAAATACTGTATTTTCCGCACTATTAGGCGCTCTAGATTATAAGGCGCACTGTCATTAAATGGTCTGTTTTCAAACTTTTTTCACAAATAAACCGCACCGGACTTTAAACGAAACACAACAGTTGGATGGGTCAGTGGGACTTTGTTTGTGGCGTTCACGGTGACTCTGGGCTTTGTTCAGTTGTGGCGTGTAGGGAGGGTGCTGTCTGGGACCAACGGATTGTCGGCGTGTTCGCAGTGACTCAGTTGTTCAGTCGTGTCTAGAAGTGGCACATTGCACTCGCTTTTTCGGTTCGTTCCTCGTCGGCGTGGAGTGATGAGTGTGTCTGTGGGTGTCGCTGTCTGCTCCGTGTGTGTTTGCGTGCGCTGCGGGTGGTGCGGCTTTGTAGTTTACTGAAGTCGTGCTGGGACACCCGAGTGGATTTGTGTATAGGGCGCTCTGGATTGTGCAGTCGTTTTTTGACGGGGTTGGAGGTTTTTGAGTGCACCCTATAGTACGGAAAATACGGTAATGTTTGTATCTGATTTCAAGCTACATTTATATGATGACGGTCTGAACAGAAGATGCAAAAGCGGCGTCGCGTCTTCACTTTTTTTTTCTGTGTTTAGACGAGCGTTTTCAGGAGGAAGTCTGTGTACATACGGTGACGCAAAAATGTGTGGAATTTGATTGGGTATGCATGCCAGGTTTCTGTGTACTGTATGTATGTGACGTAAACGTGTACGAGACGTGAGCAGATCTGACCAGAGTTTTGCGTCTTGGGCAGTGTAGACGGAAACGCTACGGCAAAGCGTATTCAACTTTTCTAATCTGGAGGGTGGTTTCAGATTTTTGCGTTTTTAAGCCCCAAAACGCCGTTACCGTCTAAACGAAAGGCACTTCCGATAAAATATTTTGTCATTTTTACCCGCAAGCGTTCTCGTGTAAACAGTCCCTCGATGTGTGTAAAACAGTTTTGGAGCCGTAGAAGTATTTTGTGTGTGGAAGAGTTACTAGCGTTCAGTTACAACACTGCATCCACAAGCTCGCAAATGTCATAACACAAACACAAAATGAGTGGTTTATGCAAACAGATTATTTTTGGCACGGTTTTCACGTCCATTTTTTTCTCATCAAGAAACAGCCAATCAGCACTGCTACGTAAACTGTGGCCATAGATGAGTGACAGTGAGACAAGTACAACACATTTTAAGGTGTTATTTTTATTCCATATTGGCTCGTTATTCTGATTTGGTTGGATCCCAGTTTAGTCTTGGTGTAGACTAGGGTGCATTTATACGTTTTGGTCCTAGTTTTCTCCTAGTTTGAGTCAAAATGTACGCTGTTGTTGCCCTGGTGTGTTCCTGGTCTAGTCCATATTTAGGTCCAGCTTAGTTTAGTTCCAGCTTTGATGTGGTCGTTGTGTAAGTGAGATCGCACACTTAATGAAAATAGTAAAGCATTTGATTTGTTGATCTGTAAAGCGCTTTTCATAGCACTTTTCATTGCATTATTTGTTCACTCCATGTTCGACTGCGTGGAGCTACAATAATAGCCACGGTCGCCCTGGGGCAGATTGTCTAAAACAGCATTTCCCAAACTTTTTTTTTCTGGGGACTCATAGTTTAAAAAGTCACAAACCAAGTCAATAGACATTCTTCGAAAATCATAAATTAAAGGTGGATTTGACCATTACTGAACATTAATGAGGATATTTTATTGTTGACTGAGTGATCGTGTTTCTCTGAACAATTAGTTTTACTCAAGTTTTAAACAATGAAAAACAGTCATTAAAACAGCAATAAAAGGATCCGTAAGTCGCCTATTTGGACATTAAACGCAGCCCATTTCTTTTTCTTTTCAACATTCAATTGAACCAGCAATATTCAGTGTTGGGAAGGTTACTTTTAAAATGTATTCCCCTACAGATTACAGATTACAGACCCCAGAATGTAGTTTGTAACGTAATCCATTAAATTACTTAAAGTGAGTAACGTAATCTGAATACTTTGGATTACTTGATTTGCTGTAGAGAAGCAAAGATGAGGAAATCTTCACATAAGATGTTTTGTCTGCTAAAAGAAAATAAAAAGCCCAGACTTTACTCAACCAAATTAAAAATATTATTGATAGAAGAGGAGGAGACACGGTCCGCGCAGCATGATTTAGTCCTGTTAAATCCTGTTTGAGACATAGTTTAGACCTGGTTTTAGTCTTGGTTTAGATCTGGTTTAGACCTGGTTTAGACCTGGTTTTAGACCTGGTTTAGACCTGGTTTGGACCTGGTTTGGACCTGGGTTTAGACCTGGTTTAGTGTTTGGCAATGAGTGGAATTACCGAGAAAAAAAAAAAAAAAAAAGTGGATATAGCCCAAAATGTGAAAACAGGAAAATACCTCTGTGTAATCCATTTATTTCAACAAAGTAACTGTAATCCAATTACCACTCACTGAAACAGTAACTGTAATTGAATACAGTTACTCATAATTTGTACTCTGATTACGTAACTCCAGTACATGTAATCTGTTACTCCCCAACACTGGCAATATTGGAACAAAATAGTCAATAAAATAATTACAAAAAGATTAGAAATTATACAAAACATGTTTTAACATTTCAACCTACATATAGATCGGGACAAGGCAACCCCAGAAAAATCTCTTGTGACCCACCCAGTTTTTGGGAAACAATGGTCTAAAACCCCCAATCTACACCATATTCATACTAGACAATGAGTGAAAGTGTCTTGCCTATGGACACAACAACAGTTTGCAGTAGAATGGTCCCAGTGGTCTACTGTCCAAGTTCTACCAAGGCCTAGCGTGGTCTGGCCACTTGGCTCGGTCCTGACGTAGTCCTGGTTTGGTTCTGGTCTAGTTCAGGCTTTGTTCCGGGTTTAGTCCCAGTTTAGTCTCAGTCTTAATGTGGTGTGTGTACGTCAACACAACCTTGGTCAACAAAATGAACAGACCAAAATATCAAACCATGTAATAAAGTCTTTGTATCAGATGGATGAGAGCTAACCACTCTGCCACTGTGCTCTAGCTTGTTCCATTTTCATTTCCACTGTATCTTAGACCCAACAATATAAATAATAGAGCAGTGAGTCTAATCTCTCACCGTGAGCGACCCATCCGTGCTTGCAGTTGTCACACTGTCTCCTCTTCAGCTTCCCCGGTTTGAAGCTGTCACAGGTGCAGTTCACCAGAGTACAGCAGATCGCCTAAAAACACAAAACACACAAAGTACTATGAATATAAAAGTACACGGCTATAATGTACTTGTTTATTCCAGTGTTTTGCCCCGCGGAGAAAAGAAGCTATGATACAACCAGCGATCAATCAAACATTACACTATAGGAGATGACTGCAGGATTACACAGACCGTATATCGCAAACACGCTGAGAGCAACTTCAGCGGTTTTCCCACATTGTAAAGTGTGTTGGGTAAAATTGTAGGATTAGAAACACTGATCCTACAATTTTGAGATTAAATTAAAAGTGTTTAGATGTTATGTATAGCAGAGATATGTAAAAACAACGTCCGTAAATACATGTAGAGACAAAGATGATTCTTTACTTTTGTGATAACTTTGGTGAGTTGGAAGAAGCCAGGGTTAAAAACGTTACCAATGTGTGTTTATACAGAAAGTAGTTGTATTTTTAAAGGTGTACTAAGAAACTTGGTGGATTGTCTGCTACCTTCTTGTCTCCATAGAGATTTTTATTTATTTATTTCATTCATAAAGCATAAAAAGACATCGACAGTGTCACAACATCAGACACACAAGAAATGAATGAAAAGGAGCAGAAAGAAGAAAAAATCTGATGTTATCTGCCCCAGTTTCCTTTTTCAAAACAATACATCAACACTGATGGTTATTAAACATTCCATATCAGTTCAGGCACAAATACTCATCAATTACAAACAGTAAATCTTCACTATTATACAGAACGTAGTTTACTTTTTCATACATACACACTTCATTCGATTTTATATGTTTTTTAAATGTCGTCATTGTACTTGATTCTTTTATTTCTTTGTCAAGATTATTCCATAAGTGAACTCCTTTCACAGCGACGCTTCGCTCCATAACCTTGGTTCTGAATCTGGGTTTTTTAAACATGTAAGTTCCTTTTAAATTGTAGTGGCTTGTTCTCATCTCAAACAGTCTTTCTGCTTTGCCACGAAAATTTCACAGTCTTGCATAAAGCCTGTCTAATTTCACTGCGATAAGTAGGTGAAGCCATCGGGCCAAGTTACTGGTCAGGTGTGTGGAAAGGTGAGCCAATCACAGTAAAGCCAGACGTACACTGTGTGATATTTTCAATCGTTTCACTCAGCCCCAGCTCAAACTGTACGACCAAATCACAGAGTGTAAAAGTTCACAGCTCACGATTCATGTTCTCACACTATACGAACTACTTCAACAGTGTTAAACCCTCACGAGAGGCTTTGTGTGTTCTAAATTATTCTGCTGACACACCTTGATTCCTGCTGTGGGAGCTCTCGTTTGTGATTGGTGGGGCAAGTCTGCGCCCACCTCACCTGCAGCCACCTCCCCCTATTTAAGAAGATTACCTGCACCTGATCGGGGCTGCTGGTCTTGGTGGCCAATATGCCATTTTGTATTCGTGTGTGTAGTTCTGTTTTGTGTCTATTTTTGATTCGGTCACTCGATTCTGTTTGTGAGCTTCTGTGGTTTAATGTGGAGAACTTGTGTTTTAGTTTAGTGTGTGTCCCTTTGTTAACCACTCATTTTTGTGTAAGCCTGCGTGACCCCTTTTGTGACACAAAACTCAGTTTATTCTGTTGTTCTGTTTCTTAGTTTAGGTTATTTTCTGTATATTTTAGTCTTTTGTTGATTTACCTTTTACACCCCTGTTAATTAAACATTATGTAATTTATTCCATTTTACATCTTGGTTTTATTTTTGTTACTTCCCTGTCCCTAGCAGAGCTGGGTCATAACAATATTCTTGAGGTATTAATCGGTTCTCTTTACCCCATGTTTACTACACGAAGCATGACACATAATTAAGCCCAAAAAATCGACTCAAAAAGGACTAAAAATGTACATATTTAAAGATGCATGTTTTAAAAGGTAATTAAGTAGATCAGGGGTCATCAAACTAAGGCCCAGGTTGACTCTGGCCCTTTAGCCCCTCTGCCCCCACCACTTGAACTGACTCAATGAGGCAATCTTCAAAACTTGTCATGGCCTATTATTTAAATGACTTTTTGGCAAATAATAACACATCTGCATCTTGCATATTGTTGATTTTTTTTCCAATAAAAAATGATATTTATATGACGTATTTATATTTATATTTGAATTATTATATGACGTATTTACATTTGCCGCAGAATTTTCGTCACCTGACAAACTCGAGATCAGACAGTGACAGTCAACGCGCACGCAGAGTTCTGTAGTGCAGTTAAGTTCAGCAAAATGGCGAGTGTAAAAGTACAAAATCTTGATAGAGAGTGCCAAGTTTTCAAAGAACAGTGGACGACCGAGTATTTTTTGTTTGGCCTCCATCGCAGTGAGGAGAGATGATGTGCCCCCCCAGAGAAAAAAGTCTGGTGACCCTTGAAGCAGATGAATAATAAAACATCCATACTTGAATAAATGCAAGATATGTAGAAGATTCTAGACTGACTTTCTAGGCCACATGTGTCAAACATACGGCCCGGGGGCCGGATCCGGTCCTCCAAGACCTTTTAATCTGGCCCTCGGCAAATTTTCTACTATATATTTAAATTATATTTTCTACTAAAATATTGGTAATTTTCTGCGTCGCTGAGCATAGCAGCGTCTCTGTACGTGGCCCCTCCCACCAGAGCAGCACAAATGAAGACTTGTCTCTTTCCAAACGCTCTTAAAGGACGATCGTTTTGACTGTTGACTGTGACACCCTCATCAGAAAAATGTCCAACATGAGAAAAGTGGAGCCGAGTGCAGGATTATCCATTTGCATACAAGTTCATGTTAAAACATTGTGGTGAAATTGCATTTTTCTTAAAGTTTCATGTTGTTCATAATAATATTTTGTAAAAGAAAGAGTTCATCAATTAAAAAAATATTTCTGTAATAGATTTGTGTTTCTCTGCACAAATATTTGAACTTATTGTTATTTTTGAGGTTTATGATCCGGACAAAAATGAGTTTGACACTCCTGTTCTAGGCAAAGCAATAACACCTCCATGAAGACAAGCAGGTAGCAGGTCACCCGCAACAAGAAAAGTTCCACAGGCACCGTAAAGTCTTCATCAAAAAGACTCTCAGTATCACGTTTTTTTTTTTTTGCCACTTTTGACTCGGAGCAAATCAAACCAAACACAGATGGGCCTAATTGGTCTGATAGTCCCACAGCTGGAGCCCGTCTTGTCCTTTTGTCCCGTGACTGTGGCCTCCTCCTCGGGACAGACCTGAGGTGTGACTGCCCCTCTGGCCCCTCGGTCCCTCTCCTCCTCCTCCTTCTCCTCCCTCTCTCTCTCGTAATCCCATCATTACAGCGCACAGAGCCAACGCAGGGGCCCAATTAGGCTAATCCCATCCCCGTGTGGGACCCCCCCGACACACCCCCACCCACTTCCCCTCTCCCTCTCCGCCGCCTGCTCTGTACATCTCTATCCCGAAAACCCCAAACTCTGCCTCATCCTAACACCTGGGTATCTACGCTGGACGCTGTGATCACGATATGCGCCCAATATTTTGAGGAGACGAACAGAAAAGTTGATACACGCTACTTTTTCTTTTTTTAAATGCCTTGACAAGTTAATTCTTCGCACTTGTAACGCGCTGTACAGAGTTGCCAAAGCCTCTCCAAGCTCCGCACCGTCGTCATGATTCATTCAGTCCATTTTTTTTTTTGTCTTCGCTGGGGTTGACCACTTTCATACTAGACCACTGCTCTGTCCACTGAGCCGCTGTCATATTCTAATTAAGATGTAAATTACAAGTATTGTTTTATGTTGTCTGCACTGAAATGGAGCAAAGGATCATGGTCTATGTAGTTCCATCTGTTTTTTTTAAGATGTTGTAGCAATAAAATAATGCTCTTAAGCAAAGAGGTTAGTGCATATTGTGACACTTTTGACACGAAATATAATATTTTGGTTACATCTCTTATCTGGGTTTGTATCAGTGGTCCCCAACCCCCGGGCCTTGGGTCGTTTGGTACCGAAAGTGCAAACGCCACATATGCCAGTGCGCCACGTGGACCGTGTCTCTAAACCAGAACTGAAATCAGCACTAAACCAGGACTAAAACCAGGACTAAACCAGGTCTAAAGATCTAAAGCAGGTCTAAAACAGAACTAAACCAGAACTAAAACCAGGACTAAACCAGGACTAAACCAGGTCTAAACCAGAACTAAACCAGGACTAAACCAGGACTAAACCAGGACTAAACCAGGTCTAAACCAGGTCTAAAATCAGGACTAAAACTAGGACTAAACCAGATCTAAACTAGGTCTAAAACAGGTCTAAACCAGATCTAAACTTGGTCTAAAACAGAACTAAAACCAGGATTAAACCAGGACTAAACCAGGTCTAAACCAGGTCTAAACCAGAGCTAAACTAGGTCTAAAACAGAACTAAAACCATGTCTAAACCATGTCTAAACTAGGTCTAAAACAGAACCAAAACCAGGACTAAACCAGGTCTAAACTTGGTCTAAAACAGAACTAAAACCAGGACTAAACCAGGTCTAAACCAGTCACCCGTCAGGTCTAAAACTGGTCCGTGGCACAAAACAGTTGGTCACTGGTCTATATTATCTAACTATTAATGCAAGGAACGTCTGTCTGTGCCTCCTCCTGTTGGTTTGTTGATTTGTTTGTCTGTTCCACGCTTAACTCATATTATTAGGGCAAAAAATGGCAAAGATCTGGTTTGATTTAAATGAAACAAACACACAAACACATTTATGGGACTAATCTCCAAAAGTGTTGTGTCTTAAATATTCTTATAAAATGTCAGTAATAAATAAATAAGCCACGCAGCAAATAGTCATAAGAAATCAATGATATTAAACGAATTTACAAAGATCTGAGGAAAGGCGGGCCTACTTATAGTAAGAATAACTATTTTTTTTTAAGTATTTCATAACAAAAACAACTTAATACAATGTCAATTTGCAATAAATGGTCTATAATCTATACAATACAAATAAGGGCTGAACGATCTATCATTTTGAACCTTAAATCACGATCTCAGA